CAAGACCCAACGTCCTTAATATAATCTGCAAATTTAAGTAGTTTATTGACCATTCTTTCATCTATGTCATTGATGTAAATCAAAAAGAGCAAAGGTCATAAGACTGAGCCCTAAGGTACCCCACTTGTGTCATTAATCGAGTTTGACTAAACTCCATTTGTTACAACCCTTGGCTTTCTTCCATCCAGCCACTCTTCTATCCAATTTGCTAACTTATCCTCCACACCTATAGAGAGAATTTTTTACAAGCCTTTTATGTGTCACCTTGTTAAATGCTTTCTGAAAATCCAGATACACCAAATCTACACTCTTGCCCTCATCAACATAAGAAGTAACCTCTTCAAAGAATGTCAAAATATTTGTAATGCAAGATTTTCCCTTAGTGAAACCATATTGACTATCCAGTGAAATTCTAACTTTTGTTAAATGACTTTGTACCTATTAACACTACTGCTGTGTCATTTGTTATTGTAGGGTCTTTCTAGATTACTATAGCCATTTCACTCACTGGTGTAGTGCTAAATTTTATAGTGCCAGAGGTTTGGAGTCTGAGTCATCACCATCAGGATAAAGATCTCATATTTAAATCTTAATTTCGATTTTTTAAGTGTCCATTTTAAGTAAATAAAGATATATGCATCCCTAATTATTTGAGACTATTTATATTAGTACTAAACTGAATATTATAGATTGCCAAGAACAAACATGCAACTTTGTTTCTCTTAAATTAAGTAGCAAAGAAAAAAAATACACATTGAGTATCATATAAAAATCACTAACACTTAAAAAACACGTTTCAAAAATACATATTAATTTACTATATTTCCAACTGCATTATTGTATCAACAGTTTTGACTTTTATAATGCATTGCACATCTCCTGTCCTAACTAAAAAAAATGGCCTTTGTTGTATATTACGGCATGTAAATAATAACCTTTTTGAAATGTGTACATTTCAAATAAACCATATAATTGTAAAACCTAATTTATTAAGTATTTTAATACCATATTCGCGTGCCTTAGCAACCACGTGACGTAAGACAAAAATATTTCACCATTTTAACGCACTGACACCTGTTCTTGAGCAAGAGTGGTTGCATGGTGCCAGCTTCTAGAGTCTAAGAAAGCTCTACCAGTGGACATAGGGAATCACAAACAACTAGAGAGACCTTTAGAGTTTCCATACTATATATTTTCGAAATTTCGCAAGCATTCAGTAAACATTGTCTTTTGTAGACACAAAATTAAACATTTTCATAAAGTATTTTTACAGACAAATTTCTCCGTGAATATATGGAGTCAAAGTGTTTACTACTCCGAAGTGATTTTCATGCTAATATTAAATACTTTTCTTCATCTGAAAATTATCAAATTTCATTTGCATAACCTATAAAACATCCTAAATAAATTTCAAGCTTTTTTTCATTAAAACTTTATATTTTATCTGTTATTTTCTTTACCCTAACTCTAAATAGAGTTGGTCAATTTGATCGACCTCGTAACTATCATAAAAATATGATACAAATCTAAATCACTCTTTTATTTTTCTTTTTAGAATGACTTCACTTTGAAACTACATTTGTTTACCCTAAATGCGTTGAAGCTCGTAACAATATACATCTGTTTCTACTTAACAGGCCCCTCACGAGTCACTGGGGGCCATTTTTGTTTAAAATAAACAAAAACTACCCAATCCAGTTTTTCTTAATTTGAACTGAAATTTTTTGGACATATTTGTTGTTTAAAAAGAAGGCATTTCCTGCACTCTTTTAGCTTTGGGGCTGCAAAAAGGGATTTGAAGGGGTAAGGTGACTTAAATCCATCAGAGCATCACGAGCTTAACCGCCAAGCACAAGAAGATGGGAGTCTCTAAATGACACACAGAGGTATTCGAAAACCGTTTAGAACCACCTTGGTAGATATTGCGCACTAAATCGAGTACAATATTATGCCTGTAGCTGCTTTCAAAGTGTTCCTGTCTGCTCATCCTACTGCTGATTATCGTGATGCTTTGACCTTCCCTACCGAATCGCAGGTGAAATCGTTCATATCTCAACTACAAACTAGACATAAAAAAGGTGATAGCCGAATCATAAAAGGTTGGCAATTGCTTATTTAATTATGCTGAGAATATGGCTTTATTAACACATACTGAATTTACTCTCAGGGGATAGACCTTGGTACTAGCTAGTATGGAGACTTGAGGATGCTGTATTTCACTTTAAAATTTATTTATGAACAAACAAAAACCTGTATCGAAAAGATACATCCAAAACCACCCTCTTTGAGAGTTTCCTGATTCAACGTACTTTTAATATTCAACAAATTACAGTGTAAAGACACACCGTGGCTCCTGATAGACGTATT